AACCATTGTCGAACAAGATAGAATAAAATATGTTATTTTCGTTACAATAAACTGAAATTTATTCAGTATCCAAAAAAATACTTCAATTGTATAAGAACGAGTTAGATGCATTGTCGGAAAAAAAAAAAAAGTAAAACCAAACTATTTTGAAAAGTAGAACAAACCGCTCGAACAAGATAGAAGTAAAATTATATTACTTATGTTGAAATAAAACTGAAATTTATTTTGTAACTGAAAAAAAAAAAAAAAATCGTATGGTATAAGAACGAGATAGACGTGTTGTTGAAAAAAAAAAGTGAAATTGAGCTATTTTGAAAGTAGAACGGACACCAACAAACATTACTCGAACAAAATAGAAGTGAAAGTATATTAGTTCCATCAAAATAAACTTGAAAATAATTTAAGATCCAAATTTTTGTCAATTCAATTGTATGGTATAAGAACGAGTTAGATGTGTTGTCAGAAAACCGAAGAAAAAAAAAAAAAAAAAAACCAAATGTAGCAGAGTTTTTTTGGAACTTAGATATTTGTGTTTTACTTAATACATATCTACAAATAAATAATTTTCAAGTATGTTAATGTCTTTATAAGTAAGCAACTAATTAAAAATTGTTAATTTTACTAAATATTTTTTAACAAACCATCAACATAATCAATTGGCCAAAACAGCAAATACAATCCACTAGTCAACACAGCACTCCACCGAAGAAGATAACTTTGTGACCGCCACACTATTAACTACCCAAATTAGATACCCACGACCAAAACAAAAGGCAAACAACAAAACACGAAATCCGAATATAAAATAACTCAGTAATTACCACCCACTAGCCATGATCAGTTTATTATTAGCAATGGCGTTTCATTCTTTGCCCAACTCGCACCCTGTAAATCGAATCCCATTTGGCACAATCTCCTTCGTATAAAGCTCCAATCACCAGCCCCACCTGCCCATTTTCCCTCGCTAATGGCTCGGACCATGGATTCTCTGCATGCCTTTGTATAGCTTTTTCTATATTCTATTTCTATCCACACGCACAGCATCGCCCTTATGATGGAGTGGTGTACGGTGGAGCTTCTTGTGTTGTGTAATTGATTAATGGCGGCTAATAGAAAAGCATTGGAGGGTTTCTCGAAAGGGCTGATGGCGGAAGTCCGGAGATGGGGTTCCATGAAACAGACCGGCGTTAGCCTTCGCTACATGATGGAGTTCGGGTCCCGACCCACGACCCGGAATCTCCTCATCTCTGCTCAGTTTCTCCATAAGGAGCTCCCTATTCGGATCGCTGTCGGGCTATTGAGCTCGACTCGCTCCCCTGTGGCCTGTCCCTTAAACCCGCCGTTTTAAAGGTAAGCCTTCTGTCCCTGTAAGGACTGATTGATTTCTGGGTGTGGCTCTCTTTTTTTTTTTTTTTATAATTTTCTTGGGTTTTGTTGTGGTTATAATTGAATGTTTTCTTCTTGATGGGTAATTGTCAGAAGTGATGGTATGTATTTTTGTTGAGGAAGGAGAGAGTGTCTGATTAATTTTGCATTTTATCATTACTCTCTTTCAGACCTCATATGCTTTTGAGCTTTGGAGCTTCTTTGCAATGCTTTCTGTTCCAATTTCTACTTCCGCCGGCACTTTTGTGGAAGCCTTTCGTGGAGTTTTCATAATACTGACTTGAGCGATCTTTGCATGTTCTTAGAGCGTCTCCAATGTGGCCTTTCGAAATCATTAAAAAGTCTTCCACAATATTAACTTAGAAAGTGTGTCATTCATTTGTTCTCCAATGAGTCTTGTCGTGTGATCTGTAATGCTGAGGTGAAAAACACTTAAAATGGTGACAATGTTGAGCCAACTTTCTAATATCTAACGGCACGCTAAACATGATAAATCATTAATTCACCTTATATTTGGCTAACGTTTTTGTTTCTCTGCATAACAAGGAATCACTTTGATTGATCCACCGAGACAAATAACTTCTTGTTGACTCGGTGCATGGGAGATGACAAATTGGGTCAAACTATTAGTCTCTTAACACTCATTCTATATGGATAAACATTGCAATCATTCATAGATATGCTTTGAATATTAATAACCATCAAAAGCATAGCACTAGAGATGCTCTTAGTTGTAGTAGAATGTTCATGATCCGTAACGGACTATAGATTGCCACTTTAATTGGTCGATAGGGTGGTTTCATGAATCATGATTACGCCTTCTAATATGATAACATCATGTGGATATTTAAATCAACGATGCATTTTCTAATATAGGTGCGAGATTGGTATTTGGATTCTTTCCGCGACCTTAGGTCCTTCCCAGACATTAAGGATAACAATGACGAGGTGGAGTTTACACAAATGATTAAGATGGTTAAAGTTAGGCACAACAATGTGGTCCCTATGATGGCTTTAGGAGTGCAACAGTTGAAGAAAGATCTGGATCCTAAAATCAATTACTTGGACCTGGACGAAATTCATCAATTTCTGGATCGGTTTTATATGTCTAGAATTGGTATCCGCATGCTCATCGGTTAGGACTTCTTCTTTCGGGCCAGCTTGCTATCTTTTCGTTCAATATTGGATCTTTGGTGTTGGCAAAAAGTTTTGCTCACTACTTTTGCTGTCCCATTTGCAATTATGATAAATGCAGGACAGCATGTCGCGCTCCATGACCCAAATCCTCCTCCTGATTGTGTTGGATATATACACACAAAAATGTCCCCAGTTGAGGTTGCAAGAAGTGCTAGTGAGGATGCCCGTTTTATTTGTCAGAGAGAGTATGGCAGTGCACCAGATCTCAAGATCTACGGAGACCCTAATTTTACATTTCCGTAAGTCATTTAATTCTATGATTTCCAGTTTAACGCACTTTCAAGGTTGCTAAGGATTAAATTCTGGATGCTTATCATTTTCGTGGATAAGTTACACGAAATCTGTTTATGTGCCAGCTATGTGCCAACACACTTGTATTTGATGGTGTTTGAGTTGGTTAAGAATTCATTGCGTGCTGTTCAAGAACAATTTATGGACTCGGACAAGGTTGCTCCTCCTATACGGATAATAGTTGCTGATGGCATGGAGGACGTAACAATTAAGGCAAGGCTCCAAAACTTTTCTCTGTGACGTGTGGACAAAGAAGTGTCATATGTGTCTATCTTACTTACGATTATCTAACTGTGCAGCGGCGGAGCCTGAATTATCATTTTGGGGGTACGATACGTATCATTTTACTTAATAATTTATTGAAATAATATAGCAAAAGGCAAACTGCTAAAATTAATTAAAATAAAAGGAGAAAAGAAGAAAAATAATGTGTGAACATATAGCCTTGTACGAAGGTTTGTTGATAAAGTAGTGATCTTAGCAGACATCTACTTTACGCTAAATTTAACATGTGACTTTATTGATAGTTATTTTGGTTCAGTAGAACCAATTAGAAATACATTTTCTAGCATATGTTAGTGGAAGCATATTGTCAAACATTTTAAGCGTAGTTCTGCCCTTGTAACTGTGCATGCTGGTATGGGTTTTCACTATCTATCTACGAGCTAATAGTATGAGTTTCCTTAGATTTCTGATGAAGGAGGGGGAATACCGAGAAGTGGTCTTCCAAAAATATTTACATATCTCTACAGTACTGCAAAGAACCCTCTCGATGAGCAGTCAAGCACGGACCTTGAAACACCGACAACCATGGCAGGATATGGTTGTGGTCTTCCCATCAGCCGTTTGTATGCTAGGTATTTTGGAGGGGATCTGCAAATTATCTCCATGGAAGGATATGGTTAGTAATTATTATTTCTTTCTTTCTCTCTCTCTCTCTCTCTCTCTCTCTCTCTCTCTCTCTCTCTGACTAAGCATGTTACTTCGCTGATGATTTGCAATAGCCAGCCTTTCAGAAGTTATTCTTTTTGTGGCTACAGGGTATTATTTGTGCTCCGGGGCATTACGTGGGAAGTATGTTTACAGTTCTACGTAGAGATAGACTGGATTACCTAGTGATAGGTTCATCAGTTGAAAATGTAGCAGAACTTTTCTGTGGATTTATACATGAATATCTAGATAATAGGTTTGGAATGCTTTAAAAGCATCTGTTTATTGCATTCATATAAATTCCTGCATGTCTGAGAGATGGATCTAAATCTAATCATATCACCGTGTTGAGTGAGTACCTTGAGAATTTAGCCATCCGATTTTAACTAAAAGTTGACCTCCAGTTTTTCTGTTTTGTAATACAGGAACAGATGCTTACCTTCACTTGTCTCGATTGGGTGATTCTCAAGAACCCCTCCCATGAAGGCTTCAAACCTATTTGTCGAGAGTCATGTACGGCTTTTTGCTTCTGTAAATTCTTTCTACCATAAAGTACTTAAATGGAATATTTTGCTACTGGCAATTTATGAAGCAGCTATTTTTCGCTGATCTGAAATGTTCATGTATAATAAGTTACACAGGCGAAGAACGGTAGCCTCTTAGGATAGCTTATTCGTATTATTGTTTTTAACACTGATGTTTGTAATTGCATATAATGGCCAAGAGTTTGACCGTAAGGCTCTTGGAAAGCAACTTCACCTTGCATTAAGGAATGGCATTGTGAACAAGGAACAAAATTGAGCATTGAAAATTAAGGAACAAAATTGAGAATTAAGAATTGGAGTTTCATGCATATCATATCACTTACATTACTGTCCAAATGTATTGACAAGTCAAGAAGAAATTTTCAGATTATTGTATGTAAATCGGTCTTTAGCATAATGAATTTAGATTCATTGGTTTGCTGTTCTTCCATTTCTGAATAATTTGTTGAATGCACAAATTTAGACGATCAGGTAATCTGAAGCTCGTCAAAATCATCTTTCCTTGCCGTTATCATTAACCAATTTACAAAATTCGGCAGCAAATTACATTCCACTTCTTAAGGTACACACAACAAGGAACAAGTAAAACAGTAACCTAGTACAAAAATATTACACACAAAACAAAATGGAATGATGTGGACAGACAAGTGATTATTCTGTTGTATCGTCATCGATAAAGTTGAGACCTTGATCATCGCCAGAGGCCATATCATCATTTTGAGCAGGATCGTCATCATCCAAAGGCTCCACCACATCTGCCAGCACTGTCATCTCCATTGATCCTTTTCTTGACTCTATATTTCCGTCATCAAAATCGTGTATATCATTCTCAAACGTGTCTTCATGTTCCATTTCAGTATAAAGAATTTCCTGCATTGTTTCGTTTAACATCACTCGGTATTCATGGCATTGGTACGGTTTTTTGATGCCCAACAAGGTGCATTTTGGTAAAAATAATCCTATGCACCAATATCAACTTCTTTAATCTTCACAAGACCATGTGAATATTTAAAAGCACTATAAACTTTACCAAGTAATGGACCAAGATGGACAGTTACCACCCAAATACGATGTGTTGGACATGAAAAAAGAATCAATGGGTAACACATATGACTGTGCAAGTGAATTAGAAAGCGTAGCTGAAATGGCAAAATAATCATATAGAGTTGTCATTCAAAACCTTTAACGACCGAAGCTGGAAAATACCAAGTATGAAACAGAAAGGGTAATACAAGAAACAGAAGATTTGTTTCATGGATACAAAAAGGAGGCAAAGCATTTCTTTTTTCCTTCTTAGTGGTTATAGCATCATATGCAGTAAAAGTCCTCATAATACTGACATTTAAATATGAACTCTACCCAATTCACCCACATGGAACTCGACAAGGCACTAGCAACTGAGAAGTAAATCACATAAGACAGTGAAAAGACTATATGCTCAAACAGTACCTCATCTTCTTGCAAGGCTTGTTTCTCAGTCTCCACGATCCAATCATACAATAAATCTTCCTGAAGAACAGTATCAAGTGACATTGAGTTGCTAGACCTTTTTCTCATCTGGCGTTCCCTAAGCCTCAAATTGTAGTGAACATAAATAGTTTCATTCAGTCTTTTCTGAGCCAACCTATTTTGCTTTTGTTCATAGATCTGATCATGTATGCTCCAGTTATGCTCACACCCAAAGGAGGAACAACTTTGGCTTAGTATCCGCACAGCTATACTCTGCAGCTCCAAGCAATTTATCCCGTGTTGTTGCCACCAGGCAGCTAGAGATAAAGAAATCGTCATTAGTGTAATTTACACATCACAAGTTCAATATGATGTTAACGTTTTTTTCATGGTAGAACCTGGATCAAGCTCTGATCTGGTACTAATAGCCAAATCTGTCCCAAAATCAGCTTTTGCAGAGCCAAAGTCAGACATCTGAAAAGGACAACATGGTGTAAAATAAATAGCCAAAACAAGTTGAAGACCTTAGGAAAAAAGATTCAAGGAAATGTAATTAGATAAAACAAAACTGTTACCTGCATGGATGCTGAAACTCTTCTGGCACTGTCTGGTTCCAATCTCACAATGCACGCATTTAGACCACGTACAACATCCGGATGCTACAAGATGCACAGTACTACTATTTAACTAATTTGAACATTTAAACACCTAAAAATTATAAGTGCTTTGGATGAAATTTTTAAGGAAAATCATTTTCATACCAGAATAAAGTCGGGACGATAACGGTATGAAGGATTCAAAAAGTATGCAGCCAGATAAAGCGGATGGTGGAAAAGTGAACTCCAATGGTTGTCAATCACACTCCAAAAGGGTTCATACTTACGCGCATCATCATTATGATTGATTTTGATTGCAAGCTTTGCCCTGTACATGTCATTGTAGATGAATGGCATAGAGAGGCTCTCATCACTAGTGATCTTCTGGAGAACCTCTATTATTGGGTCTACTGATTTTTTAACGAATTGTACCTTCCTCCAAAATGAGGAATCATACACAATATTTTTCACCTCTTTACTATCATCTAATTTTGCATATCTGGATGACATCCATTTGTTTGATTGAAACATTCTTCTAAGAGCAATCCTATTGTCAAGCAAACTTAGCAATGTAGTAAAACTTGAAGCAGACCGAGTGACAGATGGCCTCAAAAGTTCCTCACCTCCAGAAAATTCTTTTTTCATAAGGTTCAATACCCAAATCCTGTTGTAAATGAATTTTGTAATTTTCTGCCCTTTCTCTATACAGTCCCGTACACGGTTAAGCCTCATAAAATCATCTAGGATTTGATCAATACAATAGGCAGCACAAGGTGTCCAAAACAAGTTTCTCCTCCTATCTTCAATCATCTTCCCAGCAGCCCGGTAACTGGGTGTATTCTGAGTAATTACCTACACAGGAAAAGGAGGAAAGGGCAGGAAATAAAACAAAGCAAAGGAAAAAAAAAAAAAGTAACTATTAGAGGTATGCGTAGAAGCAAAAGGTGACCTGAACAACATTTTCCTCCCCCATCTCCTCCACCACTTTGTCAAGCAATTTATACAAATAGTTTGCATCGTCAACTAAGCCCGTTGCATCAACTGAACAAACAAAATATACTCCACGAGGGCAGGAAACCAAAATATTGATCAATGTCCTGTCCCGACAGTCTCTCCAACTATCCGCCAAGATGGAACACCCTGTAACTGCCCACGAAGATTTATACTCCTCAAGGTAATTTTTTATGGTCAAAATCTCATCTTGTAGACATCGGCCAGATAACAAATGGCTAGAAGGAACCACAAAATCTGAGCCATACTGACCAACCAATTCTAGCATTTTGTGAAAATATGGGGAGTTGGCTGCATGAGAAGGCACTCCTGCATGATAGAAAAATTTGAATATGGCAGAAGTGATCTCTCTCCGGGACTTCTTGAAGGGACCTGCCTTTGCTTGTCTGCTTGATACAGGCATCTGAATTGTGGGCGCCTTCGAAACATTAGCATCAAACCTTGGCCTTTTCGACAGTGGTTCAGACCCACTACAAGTAGACACCCCTTTGAAATTTCTATTTAGATCTCTGTCCAATCTTCTATCCCCAAGTTCAAGTTTATCTTTACCCACAGAATAATCTGCCTCCTCTTCTTGTTCTTCATCTTCATTATCTGAGTTCAGGTAAAAAGAAAACATCTCCTTAGTGTCTGGTCGTCTGTGCCTCCTACCTGTACGGTGCCATTTCATGTTCTCTTTAATTGTGATATAGACTTCCTCTGGCGCACTCTTGCAAGGAGCAACTTCCCCAGGTATTCTAGCTAAATGCTGCTTAAACCGGTTGATACCACCACTCACAATCTTCTCACAGTAATTGCATTTCACTTTCTTCTTCCTGTCATCCTGAGGAATACCATGTTCCCAACCAGGATCAACATATCCTAGAGAACGAAGTGGAGTCATACTTATGACTAAATCCCGGTCACCTGACATCCGCTTACCTCTTTTCCTATACCTGACATGCTCTTCTTCCTCGACATCATCAGTAGAGTTGAAATTCAGATAAGATTGTTCATCATACTCGGTTTGCCTTGATTTCTTACCAGCTCGGCAGCCCTCTAAATTCTCCCTCATTTTCAGGCGCACGTCATCTGGCGCCTTATCGCAACAAGTCACTTCACCAGAAATCCGGGCAAGATGTTGCTTCAGTCTGTAAATTCCTCCACTAACTACTTTGCCACAGTAATTGCATCTGACCTTCTTCTTTCTATCATCTTGGGCAACACCATGCTCCCAACCTGGATCCACATATCCAGACGACCTAATCATTGATGTCATCTTTAGACCATTCCTTTATGCAGTCCTTCTCACAGCAATGTAAACAGCTTCAGATAAACTGGGGGGCTTCTGATCTTTGCAGTAAAACCCATCTCGTAACAACACACCTGCAACACAAAATTCATGATGATAATAAGTCAGGATAACGGTCGCAGAGTGCACTTAATACCAAATCTTTGACCATAGCAAATTCAGAATCCAATCTTTTGTCACCACAACTGCACATGCACATTTTCTAATGTGACGAACTGAGCAAACAGAGATGATATAATAGTTAGCTGTAAGCTAACAACTTCTACATTTCATAAGCTACATGGGGACACTAATCCTGTAATCCACCAACATTATGAAACACATACAAGCAAAGATTGGGTGGTAACCAGCAGACAGATAGTAAACTAGCAAATAACAATAAGAATAAACTATAAAGATCACTTGTAATCAAAATCGAAAGAAATTGTAATCGCACAAAAAATATTGGGCGTCGATTGAAAGACAACATACCTGAATGATTTGAATATAGGGCGATGAAATCGGCGAATTGATGAAGAGATGGTGAATCGAACTTGCTGAGAAAATGGAAATAGTACGGATCGGAAGAGAAGCGAGTACCCGAGTTGAGAGGTTTTGAGAATCGCCGAGTCTCCGAGTGGACGCGGTGTGGGTTGGTTCTCTTTCCCTCTCGCTCACTGCCTTTCAGCTTTTAGGGTTTGAATCGCCCACGGGACTCTGAGTAGACTCTGACTAGAGGGGTGGGACTGGACCGAAATGGTACCGTTCCAAAAATAAGGTTTCGAAAAAATTTTTTATTATTATTTTTGTCTTATTTCTCGTACCGAATTATTTTTAATAATATTGGTATCTGTTTTGAATATTTTTCTCCCAAATCGTTTTATCTTTTTGTATAAAATATTATATATATATATATATATATATATATGTGTGGTTGGGTTCACATGAGATGGTTCTCAATAAAAGAAATGAAAATAAAGCGTAGTCATTAGATCAGATGATCTAATGACTAAGAAAAACTAACATATTACCTTCATTAAAGGTATTTTGGTCATTACCATTATACATCACCGTGCCACATCACCCCTCACACACATATAACACACACACAATACATGCAGACACACACATACACACTCTCTCATGCACTTTCTCTCTCTCTCTCTCTCTCTCTCTCTCTCTCTCTCTCTCTCTCTCTCTCTCTCTCACACACACACGATTCACACACACGCATCTGTTACACACAGTTACACACACAGACGACGCACACATACATAGACCCCGACCAGTCTGCCATTGTCGGCTGTCGCCCGCCATCGACGATCATCGCTCGCCATTACCGTCCATCGCTCGCCATCGTCGGCGGCCACCCGCAGCGTTCTCACAGACGCAACTCAACCATGACATTTGCACTCGCCGTCACGCCGTCGATGTCGTCATGTTACACGTCGTCGTCTTCTTCACGCAGATACCTCACGCTACAGTATGTAACAAAAAAAAAAAAAAAACCAGTCGCCGCCGTCGGAGCCCGCCGAAACGACGATACCAAAGCCCCGTCGAATTCGACGTCTAAATCGCCGTTGTTTGTCGCCAGAACATGCGTGAAAAAGGGTTGATGCTCGTCGCTCGTGAAACTTCCGGCGGCCGCTGCGAACTCTCCGTGAGTCAGGCGGTTGGCAACGGCTCGTAGGCTTCCTCGCCGACAAGAGAATAAGTGATGGGACGGTGCGATAAGGCGGAGGTCCACCGCCGGTGGCTGAACGGCTGAAGAGCTAGTTTTAGGGGTGAGGACTAGTGTTTGAGAATTTAATAAGTTATAAGAATTGATTTGCAATTTTAAGAGGTTTTGTTAATTGCAATTGAAACCTTGGGGTCAATGTGTAAATTCATAAAGGTTTAACTATATTTCAAATTAACCCATGGGTCATTATGTAATTTTCAGAAATAATATAAATACTACATCATTTTGTATATATTTCTTAGACATATACTTATTATGTATTATAAGCCAAAAACAATATAAAATCATTATATAAAGTATTAAAATTTAAGGTATAAATGTTTATTAATTTTGCAAATTAAAAATTAGGGTTTATGGTTTAATTGATTTTTTGTTAAAAAAAAATATATAGTGTTGAGGGACAATTTCGCAGTATTGATTTTTTATATTAGTTAATTTAGTTCATGGCCAAATATGTAATTTATAACAATATTCTCATAAATGTATATTAATGATAAATAAATTAAATAATGTTTAAAAAACTTAGATGTAAAGTTTTAATATATACAAATATTAAAAATAATAAATATTAATGTATATTAATAAATAATAATTTGTTTAAATTATTTAAGTTAATTTGATGTTCAATTATGTCTACTAATTATAGGTTTCAAAAGCACATAATTTTTACATGCTCATATAAATTATTGCACTTTATATATCATCAAATTGTACTTTATATATCATCAAATTGCACTTTATAACACAACACGTTGCGCTTTAGAATACAATACATTGCACTTTATCATCACACTCCACACTTTATCATAACTTCACTTTATACATCGGTATAGTGCACTTTATAAAATATCGAGTTGCACTTTACAGAACAACACATTGCACTTTAACTGCTATCAGATTGCACAATATAAAGCGGAACTGACCGAACTCGAACTTTTTAAGCCTGAAATAATATAAAAATAATAAATATTTATTAACATATTAGATATAATCTTGATATAAATAAAAAATCATTTCGATTTGGGATATTCAGTTACCCGAACCGAATATATTAATTAATTATGTTTATTTTCAATTCGACTCGGGACAAGCGGTAGGTTGGTTCGATATGCACAATACAGACTGACACTGTGCACTATAGTGTTAGACGAATTGCACTTTATTAACTGTTAGATTGCATAGTATATTTTATGTACGTATACACTAATTTTTTTAATCAAACAATAATATAAAAATATTAATTAAGAAAATATAATGCTAATATTTAAACTTGTAAAAACTTTAATTGAATAACGATACATGTATTGTTAAAGTTATTTATCAACATTCTATATTTAATATATTTTTAGTAAAATATATAATTAAGCATCAATTATATTCTCATAAATTCCTCAAATAAACAAACAACAAGTCACTATTTTAATTACAATTTTTTAAAACTGCAAATTACCCCTATAGTGTATCTAATTTACAAAAAAATAAAAAACTAAAAAAAAACCCACAAACCACATTCAAACCTATGAAAGAATGAGATAGATTCTCAGTCATTTTTTTTTTTTTCACGATTGGCCATCTCCTTCAGCGCATTGTCGGCGTCGATTCGGACACAACACGCAGCCACCGCCGGACCGCTGTCGCCGTCGCGTCGCATCGCAACTGTCAACCGCTTCATAGCATTGTCACCGTCAGCAGACACGACTCCTCGTCTTCCTCCGCCGCCGCCTTGCACAGCCTTCGTCCGCCAGCTCGCCGCCTCGTCTCCGTTCGTCACCGCGTCGCAACGCTGTCGTCCGCTGTCGCGTCGCTTCGGTTCCGTGCCGCGCCGTGTCGCCTCACCCCCATCAATCGCCGTGTCGCCTTATGGATTGAGTATTTTTATATATAAACACACCCTAAACGCATTAAAAAATTATAGGTAAACACATTTGAAATTATATATAAAGACGCTTTATCAAAATAAAAATAATTATATAACTATTATTTATATAAAACTAAATGTATCTATCATTCCAATAGGCAATTGATAAAATAAAAACTATAATCCTTCAATTAAAATAAATTTGTATTAAATATGACTGACATGCAATATTGAACCAAAAAAAAGACTAAAGTCCCGTCACGAAATGGTTTCGTGAGGGATTTTAGCATCTAGATATATATGCAAGTTAGTTATTATAGATAATCTATGGCTAAAATTTCTCACAGAACCATTCCGTGACGAGACTACAGTCTTTTCCTAAAACATAATATTATGCGATATGAATTAACAAACGGGTTAATTGCACATAAAATCCTCATCTTTTGTGTAATTGCAAACAAAAATAAACTTTTTTATCTTGTAAATAAATACCAAACTTTTATCATGTGTTACAAATTTGTCTCAAAACCATTTTCAAGCCAATTTTGTCCGATCAGAACACATAAGCCCATGTTTGCATGGTAGCATGGGATTGGACTAAAGTAATCTAAATGTAAAAGATTGTACTGATTGGATAAAGTTAATCATATGTTTGTTATATATGATAAGGATAGGATAACTTTAGTTCTTTTTTTTTTTTTTTTAAATATCTAATTTAGCACAAATCAAGCAAAATGGTGTAGAAGACTGCTTTACCCATCTAAAATTAATCAACACAAAAATATCATTAAAAAAATGAGGGCAAATCATAAATTATACTTTCCAGGATTGAGTCAATCCCACCCAATAAATAGGATGGAGTTATCCCAATTTCATGGGATAAACCCCTTTTTCATCTCGGGCAGACCGAATAATCTTGTGCCTAAATCCAACCAAACAAACACGAGATAGTGTGGGATAAGCCAGAATATTTTGGCATATCCCACCAAACAAACACACACTTAAAATTGCCTAAAATCACTAGAAAATCGTTCCCTCTGCCCAATTTTGCAGAATTTGGGGGTGAGCTCATAAATGTATTCGGAATATTGGGGGTGAACTCAATTTTTAGCAACGAAGAATCGCACCATTTAGAAGAAAAGAATCGGTGCAAATATTTTTTTTTCAATTGAGAGAGAAGAACTCGATTTTATGAAGATTATGGAGCAAAAAAATGGTGATAAAATCCTATTTTTTCTATAGGTACTAAACTCTAATTTTGGTTAATTTGTTGGCATATGATGTGACAAAAACATGGTGAGAAGTTTCGAAGATTGATGTCACACAAGTCTCATAAGTGCCACGTAAGATTTCTGATCGGACACGTCAACAAAGATTGACCGAAAAATGGTTTTGAGACAAATTTGAAACATATAATAAAAGTTAGGTATTTATTTGTAAAGATAAAAATATTGAGTTTTATTTCAGAAATTCTATGGTGTCACAGGTGGCACGTGTTATGGTGCCACATCATATTGTGTCACTATAGAATTTCTGATTTTATTTGCAATTACACAAAGTGGGAATTTTAAGAGTAATTAAACCTAAAAAAATTAGTATAATTTAAACGTTGTTGAATGTGATTAATAATTTTGTGATTAGTACTATTTAATATATAGACTTAGACATGGCAAAAAGTTGGGTCAGGTCACGACCCGGCCTGGCCCGCCGGGCCACCGAGTTAGGTTTTGACGACCCTAAACCGGCACGGACCTAGGGTCGTGACGGGTCCATAACCCGCCGGGCCGGGCCCGACCCGGGTTTAATCTCGGCCGCATAAAAAAATAAAAAAAAATAAATTCAAAAGCAATGTATTTTTTCGTGTCGACACGGACCCGGCCCGAACCGCCGGGTCAATGTCGAAAAAACATGACCCTTGACTAGCCCGTTTGAAATTCGTGTCGGGCTCGGACCCGTGATCAACGGGTTTGACCAGGCAGAGTCTTTGCAGGTTTCGTGTTGGGTCTGAGCCGGGTCGGCGGGCTGAGTGACTCGTGGCCATGTCTATATAGAGTCGTCATTTTCTACATAATCTCGTAGCCCACAAACTATTATTTGGCTCAAAAAATATGTTGACCCTCGTGAAATAGTTCAAAACTTGCGTAGTTACCACAACTTGAGTGTAAAGCTATTTCTTTTTCCATTTTATATTTGTTTTTCTGCCCTTATTTTATTTTTTATATTATATTATACGAAAAAATATTATACAAAAAAAAAATATAAAACACACACACACACGCACACATACATTCTCGTACTTCAGTCGTCATATATCCAAGGTCTATTTTGGCCGTGTGGATTCGTATTGGATTTGCACATCCCGTCTTGATAAAAAGCGGTAAATCTCCATGCTTGTTTTCTTTAAACTCTTCTCAAATTATTTCAACCCCCCATCGCCAGCCATAGCCGAATTCTTGCTGTAGTTGATTTATGGCTCTCTCGTCGCCCTAGGTTTTCCGTAAAATCTTCCCCCCTTTTTTCAAATACCAATAGAATTTAGGGTTTCGTTGATAACCGGGAAATTTGATAGGTGGTTTTGTTTTTCTTGAATTTTTGTGTAGAAAGATCTGGTCTTTAGAGCGAAACGAAGGGAACGATGCCGCCGCAACTCTCGGATAAAGAGCTGGAAGAACGGCTTGCCTCCGCCGGGAAAAGCCTTCTTCAGCCTCCCTCCTCGGTCGATGAACTCCTGCCCCTTCTCGATGTAAGCCCCCCATTCTCAAATTGAAAGCATAATGAGATTAAAGATACACTTTTTACGACGGGCCATGAATTTGGTCTCTGGTCGTGGACATGACGTCCCAGTTTTCCGGTTTGATTTGCTTTGGGGAGCAACTCAGTACTATCTGTCATTATCGTTGTTAATTTCACTTTCTGGGATGGTAGCAGTAGAAATTTGCTTTCGACTCCTTTGTTTTGAGTTGTTAACTGTTGAAATGTGTGAGAGTTCCTGTTTGTTATGAAAGTTTGTTTGGGTTGATACCCGTGCTGGGAATGCATGACTGAGCAAGTTGTTGTTTATAGATATTTGCATTCATTTGGTTTGTGAATGTGTGAATTAAGCTAAGTCGAGCAAGATTGTTTGAATCCAGTTGCACTGCATTTAATAAATGGTCTAACGGAAGTCCTACTTAATTTGGTAATCAAAACGGAGGCTTCCACTCATTCCGGTGGATTTTTATTTGTTTTAGTTCGCATATCGCGTTCAATAATTTTCGATTATCCAAATCTGTCAGCGGTGATAATCAAATTGCAATCGTCATTTTTTGAATCCTTCGGCAATTCTGCACGAGGATCACTTTAAGTGATTCACATCGAGCATATTAATATATTCGTAGTCATGATTTTAAGTGATTTTATGGCAATATAAGATTTCCAGAACTTCAAATTGTGCATTTCGATTGTTTGTATATGCTGCTTTTTGATAGAGATTTATTGGAGAATCACTTGTATTATTTGGGTAATAACTTTTGAATCATATATCATTGCTTCATCGTCCTACCATAGCCCAAAAGAGAGGGGAAAAAAAAAACTGGGAAAGATTCTTTTCACTTCATTCGTATCGATTGGTTCCTTTTGTTTTGTACAAAGCCATTTTTCATTATGTCTGGGACAATAAAATACATAGATGACATTTTTCGTCTTTTCATGAATAAGAGTGTTAGTTTTAATCATCAACTTTCTAAAGTTCAAGAATACTCATTCATCACTGAGTATTCTATATATTTTATTGTATTGAGCATAAATATTATGTGATTATGAACATGGGTTTTCATTTAAGTCATGCAAAAAAAAGTATTGTGTATGAGATTCTTTCTTCTGCTGCGTTCTAACCAAATGCTGAGATTTATTTTTCTGAAATTTTTATTATTGTTATTGTTGTTTGTGCTTCAAGCAAATCGAGGAACTTCTTTCGAAAGTGGAGCAGTCACCTGTGCAGTCCATGCAAGCTGTTCTTTCCCCACTAATGAAGGCACTGGTCATGGAAGAACTTTTGAAGCATTCTGATGACGACGTTAAAGTAGGCGTAGCTTCTTGCATCAGCGAGATTACCAGAATTACTGCACCCGATGCTCCGTATGATGATGATAAAATGAAGGTGACATTTGCCCC